CGTATCTGCCTAGGAGCTGAGGGATGTCGCCACTTCCGGGGAGGCATGGGTAGGGAGCCTGCCATTCCTGCCAACCCCCCCCTAGCAGCAGCACAGGTCTCGGGCTGCGCGCTGCCTCCCCCGCCCCCCAATGCCCTAGCACCAGCAAGGGTCCCAGACTGCATGCCACGGCCTGCCCCCCACCCCCAGCACCCACTGGGCCTCCCCCCTGAGAACCCATGGCACCCCTGGGCCGTCCCCCTCCCCAGGATTTAGTATGGGGTATATAGTAGAAGTCATAGACCAGTCACAGGTCATGAATTTTTGTTTACTGCCGGTGACCTGTCCGTGACTTTTACTAAAAATACGAGTGACAAAAATGTAGTCTTAAGCATAACTAAAATTGTCAGGGATGGGATCTTCTAATGACGGGGAGGATGGGTAATATATGCAAGTAATGGAGAACGTTGGGAGAGGGGATCCTTTTAATGAACTTTTAAAAAGGTTGGGTTGAGGCTGTACCTGAAGATCGGTCTGGAATTTTTTTTAGCAAACCTGTTCACCCATTCTTAATATTTAGAGGCTTTATGAACGAGATTAAGTGTGAAAAATGTATTGTGACTTGGTAAAGAATTGCAGAAAGAGTTGCTTTCTTCTAACACTGAACTCTGTTTAAATAAGGAAAACAATATGTATTCCTAAAGATATTATGTCTCTCCTTCACTATAAAGTGTCTGACTGGAATCTTTCCCAGACAAAATTCTACCTAGTTTCCGACTATATGTATAAATAAATAGTACACGAATACATAATAAATGAATCTATGAAAGCCAGTATACCAGTACAGTAAATTAGGCTGCTGTTATAGGCTTGTAGGCAGATGTAAAACGTATTTTGGTTCTAATCTAAAAAATGAAAGCAACTACATTCATATTAATCGGTATTGCTCTTAATTCACAAAACAAAATGTCTAAGTATTGCAACATATATAGGGTGAAATCCTAGTTCCATTGAAGACAGTGGCAAAACTCCCATTGACTTCAGTCTTCTTAGTGTATATGCAGTGCGCCCCAGGTGGCGTGTGACCAGGATTCATCTCCGAATTTGGTCCACTGGTTGGATCATTAGCCTCCTCAGCCCGGACCGGATACTGACAGGGAGTGCAATGTGAATTCTGATCCATGCCCCCCATTGACGTCAGTGGAACAAGATTTCACCATTGTCGTTTAAGATCTTGCAAGATCTTAAGTAGTGACATGAGTTAAATTCAAGCATGTCTTAAAACTTCCTTGCATACTGTGTGTCACTTTATTTTTATTGTAGCACTCAGCACTTAAGAAATGTTAAAGTATGTGTCTGACAATGCAGTAAATACAATTGGAAGTGTATCCATGGAAACATAAGCAACATTACTTGAGATGGTCAGAATTGCCTCAAAGTGCACGGAACCTCAACATATCCTCCAAGTACTGCACCTGAATAGAAAAGTATGCTAAAACTTCCTAAGTGATCCATTATCCATAGATCCTCTTGAGTCACTGTGATCTGTTATGATTATACTTGTTTAGTAAATTCTTAAAATGCAACCCTACTGTGAAAGATGACTGGGCAAAAATGGCACTTGTGCTTGTTTCCTGTGTGTATTCAGAATTATATCTGCTAATATTAGAGATAAAAATAATTGTCCACTCTCTTTAGCCCTGCAGAAGTTGCACAAACTAAGAAGGAATGAGCTGGATTCTCTTTTTTTCATGTGTATCATAAACAGAATTGTTAACTAAAACTCTGATTTCAGGGATAATCTGTTACATTTGTGTAAACGCACTGAAGAGGATGGTTTGCACAAATTTCACTGAAAGCGTAACCTGAATGCAACTGGTTTGCACGTGTATAATTTGAGAGCACAATTTGGCCTGCAGGATCTTTTATTACTGCTGATGGATGTCCAAGAAGGAAAGAACCCAGCTTTCCATTCTCATCCCACAGTAACTTTGCAGGGCAGGCAGTTAGAAAAAACATCTTATCCTTGTACATTTGCTTTGGAAATCATTGGAAAATGTTAAAACTTGGAATCCCAAAATGCCACAATTACAGTCACTTCTCAGGACTGTAATGTCAGTGTATATGTGATCTTAAAAAAAAATTCTTAGTGGCAGTTATGATAAACTATTACTTTGTATGTAGCAAACATTTTTTCTAAATTAGATTTGACTGTTTTGATATATTTTAAAATATATAGAAATGCTAATCTAAAATGTAGAAGAATATTTGGGTCTTCTGGAAAGAGCTCTGTGTGTGTGGTTTGCACTGCACAGAAGGGGTCTTGTTTGTCCCCAGAATACTACCTATTAAATATGCCTTACACACACAGGGATCTCCAGTAAAGAGGGATCTCCAGTAAAGAGGGTCAAGCAGCTTCACTTTCTTCATGGGAGGATAGTGGGGGACTGATAACCCTTGTAATCTTGGTTTGAAACAATGACTTATAAAAATAAAAAATATTTTGAATTGCATGATACTACTGTATGGATTATAGACTTTCTTTCAACCTAATAGAGTCTCTGATACTGAGAAATTTATTAGCTTGCTAATTTTGCAGTTTGTGAGTTGTCTTGGAGGTGAGAAAAAAGTGATTAGTTAAGAAGTTCACTTTCACAGAACTTGTTAACAATTGGCAGAAGCAAATACTTGATGCACTTACTGTTTTTTCTTCAGTAAATAGGGTCTGCATACAGTGTCTCCTTCCTCCTTCTCAATATGGATTATGGATTATTTCCTTCAGATCACAAAAAGTTTCTCACCTATTTTGCCAAGTGATAGAATAGCTTTACATAGCCAATTATTTTAACTTCTGCTAAGAACTGGGGAGGCAGCATAACAAGTGACTGCATACAGTCTTGCAAGCTAAATCTGTGGTGATACTTGTACAGGACCCTTGTGTAGCAAGTGTAGAAATTGAAAAAATTGACAGCAACTTCATCTAGATTGTCCCTAATGAGCTTGAATTTTTATTTTTATATGTATTTTATTTTTGGCTGTTTGGTTTGTTTTATTTCTGACCTACAGTCCAAGGTAACTCTTGCCATGTGTCCACAAAGGGAAATTTTCAACCAATTGTTGACACTCAGCCATTTATGAGCCCAGCCCTGCATCTGGTCTACAACACCAATTTAAACATTTAGTCATTGGGAGGGCTACAAGTCAGAGGCAGCTTGGTTTTATTTCACCCCTGTAGTTTTACTTGTGTGTTACTTTTTCAGGTGACTAAATGTTTACATGTTTGAAATCAGAACTCAAGAAAGCCTACATTTGTGACCACCCAGTAAACGTGCCTTTTCCTTTTAATCACTGAAATCTAAACCTCACCTTTACAAAGCTTTCTGAAAAAATACCTTCCATTTGTAGTTAGGTGGACGCTAACTGCAAACATCTCTTAAGCTTGTTCCCTTTGTTGGAAGTGTTTGGACTCCTCTTTAAAAACAAACTTTATGTGGCCAGTTTCTTGGGTGGTTTTAAAAAAAAAGAACTACTGTTTAAGATCTGTTAATTGTTGTCTTTGACTTAATAGTTTCAAAATTGTTTAGGTGGCAAAACTAACTAAACGGTATGTCTGTGAAATGAATAAAAGGTTAGAGTGACATTATAGTTGTTTTGTTGCTTAGATATTGCTTTCTGATTTTTAAATATTAGTAAAAGTTATCTGTATCATTGCTCTTCATTTTTAAGCAGTTGTTTTTCTCTGCATTTGTGATGAACAGGTTGAAATACTAATTTTTCCTTCTTGATATTGCCTCCATAGAAGCATGTGTCTAGCTACATGGCCAAGGAATGTTTACAAGCAGCAGTTGGCAGTTAGGGGTGCATGTGCATGTCCCACAAAACCAATATTCTATTATCAGATTAAACAGTGCAAAACAGAAAAGAGAACCATGAGGATTGATATCCTTTGGGATTTTACTCTAGTTAGTTATAGAGTCACTTGATAGTAGCAATATGCCAATCAACACAAATACTTTGTGTGTGTGTGTGTGTGGTAGGGAGAGAGAGAGAGAGCGCTGAGGGGTTGGAATGTCCACCTGCAGCCACAGGATGAGATGAAAGGTCTTTGGCAGTATCCCAAGAGTTCAAGTACTCCACGCATTTACAAACTTCAGAACTTCATATGAAGTTATGCCATTTAAGCGGTTTCTTAACTTTAGAGGAGTTCTGTTTGTTCCTCACAAAGTATAGCAGTATTGATAGTACTAGCTATTGAATCCAGGATATCCATAGAAATTTTACACCTGTAGAACCTTTTGCATATGAAATTGTCCACACTTGAACTTTACACATGGAAGTAATGAAAATAAATAGTATTTTCTTCCCTTCCCATTGCATGTTTTCTTTCAAACTGTCTTGTGTACAAGTTTTAAGTATTATCTGAAGTTTGATTCCAAAGCTGTCTTCCAGTTATAGTTAGACTTTTGTGAGTTTTTCAAACAAAGGTACCCTTGAACTTTTCTCTCCAAATACATAGTGAAAGTTTTCCTCTTGTCTGAGAGTAAGGTCTGGTCTATACCCCTGAGTGACATAATTATACTGATCTAACCCCCTGTGTAAAGAGCACTATTTAGACAAAAGAACTTCTCCCATCAACATAGCTGCCATCTCTCCGGGAGGTGGATTAACTAGACCAATATGGAAGAGCTCTCTCCCCTCTGCATAGAGTGTCTTCATTAAAGCACTACAACGGTGCAGTTGCATCAGTGAGGCAGCGCTGATGCAGCATTTTAAGTGTAGACTTGTCCTAAGCTTGCCAGTTTTAATGTCTAAAGGACGTTTGTTGTTGAAACTTACAGGGGGTTGAAAATAAAATTAATAGGACCCTGTTGGTAACCTTAGGCCCTTATCCTGCAAAACTTTTATGCATGCATTTAACTTTACACCTCTTCCATTTACAACTTGCTTTATAGTGAGTCTTGAAGACATTGGTGAATGCAATAGAACAACTTTTCCTTCATATTTTCTTTTTGTCTGTTAAGATCGCAGAAAGCAGATCAGACCTTGAAGATCTGGACCTTTATGCAACTTCTCGAGAGCAACGGTTTCGTATATTTGCCAGTTTAGAATTTGAAGGCCAATTATATATGACCCCACATGACTTCATTCAGTCTGTTACAAGTGATGCACCCAAATGTAAGTAGGATTTTTGTATGGATGAAGTTCCTGTGTTAAATGCTGATGATGCATGTTATCTTTCAACTTATTTTAAGTTACTGTTTCTGTCTTACTTGATGTGAAAAGGAACTGCTGAGGATCCAAAAGGAGAATGGAGAATTCCAGAATTCATTTTAATGGTATCCAGAAGGTTTGTAGGTTTTCCTCATACTGATTGCCCTTAAATTAAAGCCAATTTTGTAATTCCTTTTTAATCCCTTAGAAGTCTTTAGTTAAACATTTTGTATTGTCTTATAAAGCACACCTTGCATAATAGGCATGCAAAATTTGAAGTCCATTTGGTACTAACAATTTCAATTCCAGCTTCTTTTTGAATATGCTAGTACTGCTGTAGAACTCTTGTGTCCTTTTCGGTATAGATAGTGCTTTTTTCCTGTGCACTGTCTAGGACAGTTTTGTATCGCAGTTTTCACCATTTTAAATTGTCATCTATTTTGTTTTTATTTTTTACTCTTTCAAGATTGTGTAAGGCATCTCATGACCAAAGAGCAAATAACACTCTGAGCAAGAACCTTAGACCCTGCGGGAATCAATTTTCTGCATTTACAAATTCACAGAAGAAGCTCCCTGATAGTTTATTTTCCACTTTTTCACACACATCTTTAGTTGGTTTGTTATAAATGTCAGTTTCAACACCAATAAAATAAATGCACAGGCAGACTGAGTAGTAGGACACAACATTACTATATATTTATTATTATAATATTTGTATTACTGTAATGCCTATGATCCCTAATCATGGACCAGCACTCCAGGGTACTAGGCACTGTATAAACACAGAACATTCTTAACTGGCTTGATTTTCTGGCTCTCAAACTTGGAATGCTGAGCTCTGGTGGCAACATTCACAACTCCTGGGGAAAGTGAATGCCTTGTGTTGCTTAGGAGTGATTTATGATAACTGACTTGAGTTGTTGTCAAAGTCCCTCTTTCTAAAGTCAACAGCACAAATTGTGCTGAAACCATCACCAGGGAACTGGCAAAACCAGTTAATGCAGCTTAAGTAGAGCTTGAAAGACTCTGTGCAGACTACAGTTTCCTTCCCTTTTCTCTGAGCAGCAACAGCACAAAAGAGGCTGCAGCTGTCTGAATCAAGTGATATCAAAACTGCTACAACTCTTGAAGTTTGCAGTGTTGTAGCCAGGTTGGTCCCAGGATATTAGAGAGACAAGGTTGGTGATCTTTGTGTAAGTTTGAAAGCGTGTCTCTCTCACCAACAGAAGGTGGTCCAATAAAAGATATTTCCTCATCTACCATGACAACTCTTGAAAAAAAGATATAATGTCCTTCCACTAATGAGGACTAAGTCGATGGAATACCTCCACCCTCTCAGCAGAGAGTAGCCCAGAGACTCCCATCCATTGCCAAGAACCAGCACATCAGCTGAACTTCCAAAACTTTGAAGTTTTGACCCAGGAAGCAGCATTTAACATTTTCTTTCTTTCTTGTCCCTCCCCAACCTTTCCCTGACTTAGAGGAAATAAATTGGAGCCCCTTTCACAATGCAGAGATGCCAATCATCCCTGATTTTCAGTAATCCTGGCATATACACAAACTATGCAGTGACAGTCTGATAGGAAGTAAGCTGCAGTGATTTTGAATGGGTTGGGGCACCACTGGATTCACCATCCCAGCCACAGGCTGTATGTTGCACTCTAACTGCTCTGTGTGGACCTTGCCCAACTACAGTAAGACACTCTAGGCACCTAGAGTGAGCCAGCAGAGTCCACACAGGACAGTTAGGACTCAACATGTAGTCAGAGGCTTTGGTGGTGAATCCAGTGCCTCAACCCCACTGACAATCACCGTTTAGACTCTCACTACACAGTTTGCAGAGAAGGAGAAGCCGGAGGGGCAGGAGGAGGCAGCGATGGTGGAGGAAAAGAGAAGAAAAATGACAGGAGTGAGAAGAGGACAAGGATCATCCCAGGAAGGAGATCCAGGCCTGGGTCTGGTCAACATAATAAAGAGTCCTAGTGGCATAGAAGGGCAGCTTTCCAAGGGTTGATCCTCTCCTTCTCCCTGTTTGGAAGTGGGAGTCAGGAGCGCAATGAGGAGTGGACCCAGGCTCCCCCCTTGACCTAGATAGGAAGGGGAGGAGGGAGACGTCCTGATTTCCCCACGGGGAGGCTAAGAGAGGGGAGAGGTCCAAGCAACCTCCCTAATTCCTCCCTTTTTTTTAATTAACATCCCTAAAAGTCTCAGAGCAAGATTGGCATCTCTGACAACATCAAGTACCAGCTTTACATCAGGATTTAGGCGGCTACTCCTCTACCATCCTCCAAACAGACTAATGCCTCACTTTATATAAAGCCACCCACTTGCAACACCACTTTCAGATACTCTGAAGTAGAGGCTTCCCACAGTATAGCAGTAACACAGTACTCAGGGGTGCTGAGCACATGTATCATATCTTGAACAGCTGTTGCAGCTCCAGATCTCTCCAACAGTTCACTTTCACTCAGTCATTCTGGGAGTTGAGTAGTTTGGTGACACACTAGTTATCCAACACACTGTTAATTCCTGTCATTGCCAATTAAGCATGCTTCTTATAATCCTCCACAGTATAAATCATATGAGGAAAAAGAAATAGAGAACATTATCGAAAGCTTGGAAAGAAGATCACCAGACACTACTACCTCCAATCTGGTGCAATAAGCAGCCAGCTACCACACATGGATCCAAAATAGATAAACACAAGGATTTCATCCTCATCATAAGATCTGTAGTCAATAAGGGCTTGATCCTCCTACTATTGAAATCAGTGCAAAAGTCCCATTGATTCTGATAGCGTAGGATCAAGCCTTACATCATTCACGATCCATGATATTATTGCCAGTGAGGTGCATTACCTGATCTGTCGCAGAAGTCCACTTGGCTGATATTGCAAGTCCAGTGTTAGCTCTCCCAGGATATGCTATTGACATACACCAAGGGAGGAGAATCTGAAGTGGAGTAGCCGCTTTTCCATTCTGAGCTCAAATGCAGTAAACCTTATTTGAATCAAAATCCTTTGAATTCATGTAGTTAATCTCTGAGGCCAGAGACAATACTAATCTGCACATCCTGCTAATCTATAAACCCTTAGAGATGCAGTCAGACTTGCTTATTAACTTTACAAAACTAGTAGCATTAGGAGACTTCAGACCTGAAAGTAATTATTACAGGGATAGCGTAAGATTGTGTGGCTAAATGTAAGAGGATGAAATTAAGGTGGTAGTCCTGCTGTTTGAGTTATTTTAAAATTAGAGAGGGGAAAGGCTAGCAAATGTACAGTAGTGAGCATTGCCATGGCGGGGAAGGACTTGATGACTGTCAGGTATTAGATCTTTCCCATTTCCAGCTTCTGATTCCATGAACATTTGAGTTCTAATCTTTTACTCCCTCATTTGCTGTGTGGACTTTGGATGTGCTACTGGATTTGCTACGTGGAACACAGCTATTGTAATGTTTCTGGGTCTGTTTTCTTTTCTGTACACTGAACTAATATTTCACAGAGGTGTTGTGAGCATTTAATTAATTAAAATTTGTATATAGCTGTGAAGATGTAAAGTAATTAATTATTTGTGTTACTATTATTATTCCTACTGTTATCATTTTGAAGAGATTACTAGCTGTCTGCCCTGTTCTATTGAATATAGAATTACATGGAAAGATGACTTTTTGAATCAAAGATTAAATATTAAATAAAATCATGTCTTGCATTTTTTAATCTTTTATTTTTTTTTTTGCTTTAAACTTGCGATGGATTTGGGCCTGTAAGGGCTGTTCATATATCTTATGGAGAACATAGGAGGGCAGAACTCACACTTAAACTTTCAGTGAATGAACACTAGAAGAGCCTTGAGTTTTGTCAGAAAGCAAAAATGCCCTTTGAAGAGTAATAGTAGTAGCTATTTACTTTTGCTATATAGAAAAGCTAATAATACTAGACCTGGATGAGATTTCTGGTAGAATAAATACAGCTATTGTGACTGACTTACCCTGGAAATCTTATAAACCCTGCAAAAGTCAAGAGTGTGTTTACTTCCTTTTTGATTAAACAGTGATTGAACATTGGATAATAGTAGTATGGTAAAAATGTGAAATATTTTTCATAACTAAACATTTAACTTTAGACAGTTGTAATAAAATTATAGTATAAAACAAAAGCTACAATTAGCTTTAAAATTATATTCCTATATTTCTAGTGAAGGATTGGGTTTATGAAATAAATCATAGTGTATTATTTGAAACTGTTTGTGAGAAGTCAAGCTTGTAATTCTATGATTTTTATCACCTGGATACATGTTTACACTTTCAAAAAAAAACTTTGGAAAGAGGAAGAAATAGAATTGTGTTTTGCTCTCTTTTAACTTCTGATCTGACTCAACAAAAATTATAGACAGCCAAATGCTGAGCTGTAGGGTTTGTGTGTGTTCACGTACCCAATGTAAAATTCCACTTGCTTGTCTAGAATGGCAAGCTTGCCATTCTAAACTAATCTCTCTTGATTGACAAATGTTTTCTGTTCAAAATACTCTTCTGTCCTTGCTCTTCCCCCTCCCCAAACTAATACAAATGCAAATCAGCCTATATCAGAATGACTTAACTTTTTAAAAGATGTACAGTAGAGAGATGGCTGTAATCCAGATTTAAGATTTTAAACACAAAGTTACGTGAAGAACTGTCCAGCTTGCTACATGTTTGGCTTGATAATACCAAACCTTATGGGGATAGTGGTGTTGTCACAGACTTTCTGAGGTATGAACATAACCAAGTTGTCATGTTCAAATCTCAATATGAGGAATTAATTAAATTCCATTGTAGCTGCTGTGTCTAATTGCTATACAATTCTGACAAAAAATTCCATGAGTGCAAAGTTAAGGTTGACCAGTGGTATCTCTTGCTCTTCCAGAACATTAAGTTCAGCAAAACTCTAACTTTGGAAAACCAGAAAATGGGGTTAAGGTACATGTCCGTGCAACCTTATCTCTGCTCTCCTGGAGCTGACAATAGCCACTGTGTGGAGTTTGTATCAACTACAGCTGCATTCACTGTTAGGTGTAGCTATATTGAATGATGGAGGTATGAATTGGAGAAGCTTGGCAGAGCTGTGATTGTAGTATGAGGTGATCTGGGGGCATGGGTGAGTCCATCTTCCTGACACCCATATATATGATCAAAAGAAAGAGGTTCATATGTACCTTCCAGGGGGATAAATCATTAACTGATTCCATTTCATTACATTAATTTTTCTCCCTCATTTCAGGTGCTAAAAAGTGGAAGTCCCTTTCAAAACAGGTGAGCAATAGTTCCTTCTGTATCTTGCAACCTTAGATTTCTCCAGATATGAGTTAAGTAAATATATGCTATAAACTTGCAACCACAAGGAGAAAGGATTAGGCAATTTTGTTTTTATGGGTGGGATTTTGGGTTTTTTTTTTAATAAATCCCAGATTTTTCAAAAAAAAAGCCAAAACACTGAGACACTTCCTCTTCTGCTTCTTGGAATGTCACAATAGTCACTTGATCTCTAGTAAAAGGATTGCTTGTTCTAATGCTTAATTATTCCTTCAAAGCCAAGTCTATGCTAGAAAATTAGGTTGGCCTAACTGTGTCACTTGGGGTGTGAAAAATCCACACCCTTTAGCAGCATAGTTAAAATGATCTAAATCCCCACGTGGACAGTGCTGGGTCAACGGAAGGTGGATTACCTAAGCTAATGGGAGAACCCTTCCCGTCAGCTTAGGTAGTATCTACACTAAAGTGTTACAGTGGCACAGCTGCAGCATTTTAAGTGTAGACAAGCCCAAAGCTGATATGGATGCTGTTCACTGGTCTCTAGCTGAATATAAGGCAATGAGTGAACAATAAAAGGAGCAGACTTGCAAAATTGTCTTAAAAATGTACTATTTGGGCACAAAATCTTCTTACCACTATTTTTGTGGTGGTAAAAAGTTACTTGTCCCAGTAAGTAGACAAATAGAATTCTGGAAGGTTTGATTAAGCAGCATGTAAAAAAAAACATGAGCCTGTTCCGTTCTATGTAAGACTCCATGTTAATCCATATACCATGTACTGGGAGGAAGGAGTGAGTGAGACTAATTTTCCAAGATCCCATAGTCACCTAAAGCAGTGCTTCTCAAAGCCGGTCCGCCGCTTGTTCAGGGAAAGCCCCTGGCGGTCCAGTCCGGTTTGTTTACCTGCCCCGTCTGCAGGTTCGGCCGATCGTGGCTCCCACTGGCCGCGGTTCACTGATCCAGGCCAATGGGGGCTGCGGGAAGCGGCACAGGCCGAGGGATATGCTGGCCGCCCTTCCCGCAGCCCCCATTGGCCTGGAGTGGCGAACCGCGGCCAGTGGGAGCCGCGATCGGCCGAACTTGCGGACGGGGCAGGTAAACAAACCGGCCCGGACCACCAGGGGCTTTCCCTGAACAAGTGGTGGACCGGCTATGAGAAGCACTCACCTAAAGGAAATAATGAGGTTTAGAAGTACTATGTATTACAATGGGGTCACCTGCCTACAGAACTCTTATGACATCACCAGGTTGCTGAGTTTGTCAAAGTCTACTTCTCCGACAGGCTAAATCTGCCTGTGGGAGTTGCCTTGGGGCTACCTGCTCTGTATTGATGAGAGGGGAGGGTACCCCTTCCACTGCTTTCTAGCTGCGCAGGAGATAGGGTGGGGGATGAGAGGCTGGCATGCTTAGTCTCTTCCCCCACTGCCATTTGTTTTTAACTTTGTAATTACAAAAATCAGGCTTTCAATGGTTCAGATAACTTATAGACATGTCACATTGAATTGTCTAATCATTTGAAATAACTAGCCTTTTCTAGTTCTCATATTAGTCATTCCATTCTAGAGCATCTTACTCAGAATTCAAAACTAATTGGGTAATTGAGTAAGGTGCTTTGATTTTATTCAGTCTTCAAAAGTGTCTCAACTGTGAGAAGATTAACCAAGAATAGAAACAGTATGATATGGCCCAAGTGCATTTTTTCAGATCAGGTGACCAATTTATAGTTGAAAGTTTACACGCTTTTAAGCAGGGCTGGACTCTGGCTTTTTTGTTGTCTTGTTACCTCCTCCCAGGATGCAGTATTTGCAGCTAAAAAAGATCCATGTGGGGTCAGGAGAACAAGCACCTGTGTTCTGACTTCACCTAGCCAGGGTAGAGAGTTTGGGGAACAAATGACTCTTTTCCTTCTACACCCTCTTAATGACTTTCACAAAACCATGAGGAGGAATGTCCTAAGGAGTTCCTTAATCTGACTGCAAAACTGGTTACATTGTAATCTACTCCTGCTGCTTCCCTGCCCCATGGCTGTGTGGAAGTTTATGAAGGCTAGATACACTGTTCTTTAAGTGTAATGGGTACTTGTGCTCCATCTCCTCCAACAGGTTGATGTCTTTGAGGGAGCAAAAGATACTTATTCCCTGCTTCTCAGACTGGTTGCAAGGAGCTTGTCCCTACCTCCATCCCCATGAGTCTCCCAAGACTTTCTTCAGCAGCAAATATTGCCTTCAGCAGTTGTCTCCCTCCATTCCTGTTAATATCTATTGTTGAAAGAAGAATTACTCCATGATCTCTGTTCGTGTAGGAAAACTATTTCAAAGTACTGCAGGGTCGCAGAATAACATTTCAGCAAAAATACAACCATATTTGCAGAAACCACAATGGAAAATTATTGTCTTTTTGTATTTATTCACTGTATATTTCAGTACATTCATCCAAGTATTTACATTTCCAATTTCAAGGCTTATGAAAAAAATAAACCGTTCATTTTTATTTATTTTTATAATATAAAAACTGTTGATCATGTTTTACCCAATCTTAGCAATCATTAGTATTTACCCACCACTGTAGTGTTACAACAGTGTGCCTTACATTGGTAGTGAACAACTAGCAGCTATCAGTGGAGTTTCTGTGGGAGTTTTCCCTGAGAGGCGAGTGGTGATTTTGTGTTCTGGACGTGTAGTTTTGATTTGTGAGTGAGCTGTTCCAAGTGTGTGACTTGATCCAGTGGTTGCTGATAGCCCTTAACAAGGGGGTAGTGCTGACCTAGGACTTGTCTACACTTGAAATGCTACAGCATCACAGCTGCAGCACTACTGCTTTGCCAGTCTAGTACTTCAGTGTAGACACTTCTTATAGTACTGGGAGGGGTTCTTCCATTGGTGTAGCTAATCCACCTCTCCGAGAGGCAGTAGCCAGGTCAATGGAAGAATTCTTCTGTCAACCTAATGCTGTCTACACTCCTGAGCAATGTAGTAGGGTCGACTTAACTTTTGAGTGTAGACCTGGCCCTATTTTGACTAGTTTAAAAGCTAGTCATTGGTTAATATTGGAGCAGCTAACAGCTGAGTTTCTGTGGGAGTTTGTAGGTGGGAGGGTTTTTGTCTTTTTTTTTCTAGGAGTAGGGACTAGAAAGAGAAGATGATGGCTACTGATGCAACATTAGAATTGATCTGAAGAGGAGATGACATGAAGATGGTTGGATGTGCAAACTGAGTCATACATAATCCTAGAGTGGGTATCTGATGGAAGCTACTTATGCATGAAATGTCGCCAGTTAGAATTCCTGGCAGAAAAGATCCAAGGATTCGAGATTAGACGATGATGGAATTCAGACAGGGATTTTAAGTTATAATGGAGACGAGGTGGTACAGACAACTCAAGATTTGCGGACAACTGCTGAACAAAAGGACCTGGAGGGCGAACTGCCAGAAGCGGAGGGTGATCCATTGAAGAGCATGACCACAAGGACAATGCAGAAGAAGAGACTATCTAGTGGAGGTGAAATAGAGTTGAATAACAAGTTTACTGAACTGGAGAATGAGGAAGAGAAACAGACAGAAGTTGTGGTGGTGCAGAAGAAGAGAAGGGAAGCGAGTCTGTGCATAAGGGAGGAAGAGACAATGGAGATAGTCATGGACTAGAACCCAAGATAAAATGAGGATTATTTACAGGTGACTGTGAGAGAGAACATAAGACAGATTTATACCAAAAGCAGAAAGAGACTGTGTCACTGGGGACTCCACTCCATACTGAAAAGAAACGACAGGCCTGTCACCAGACCATATCCAGAGAACAGAAGAGTGTTTTATCTGCCAGGAGCAAGGATATGAGATGTGGATTTGAGATTGGAAAGGATCCTGATGGGAGTGGGGAAAAATCCATCGAGTGTGCTGCATTTTGGGATAAATGATACTGTTAGATTCCCACTGGAATGGATCCAGGACAGTTATGTTAGGCTTGGTAAGATGCTCAAAGAAGTGGAAGCTCAGATGACTTTCAGAGGGATACTTCTGGACCCTACAGAAGGAGAGTGAATGTGTAGCAAAATAATTAAGATCAACAAGTGGCTCAAGGATTAGTGCTGTGAGGAAGGTTTGGGGTTAATCAATCATTGCAAGGCATTCACAGAGGAAGACTATTCTCGCCTGATGGACCCCCCACTAGAGTGCTTGGGGTATTAACCTTTTGGGATCAAGGCTGACACAGTTGTTAAGAAGGACTTTAAACTAGAAAATGTGGGGAGGAGGCTGTGAGAGATTGGTGTAATCTCCGTGCCTGACTTCAATACACAGGAAGAGGAAAATCAGCTAAATGAAGATGTAAGAGGTAAAGGAACACCAGAAGATAAGAGTATGGACAGCAAAGAGAAATAAAGTACAAATATCAACTGGAATAGTAGTCAGGTGGGTGATACAATTAGTGAAAGGACTATTTCTAGTTTGGCTAGAAAACTATGTGAGTTCTAAGGGAAACAACTGCATGAATGCAAGGAGTCTCGGCAATAAAATGGAGGAACTGGAACAAATAGTGCAGGAAGTCAAATCGGATATAAGGCATGGTGGAAACCTGGTGGAACAGCATTCAAAACTAAAGGATATGTGCTGTTTAGGAGTGATATACATAAATGCTGGTGGGGTAGTATAAGGATATGATAAACTGTAAAGAAATAAGAAATAGTAATCTGTTTGGGGAAGGATTGCAAAAGAGGTTCTATTAGGATAGTGCTGGGCAGTTGCTATAGATTTCCAGGATATGGATAGAGATCTCTTTAATGTTGTTAGAGAAATACTATCAGTAATTGTATCATAATTGGAAACTTAAACTTTCTGGCTATCGATTGAAGAATAAATGCTACTAATACTGGTAGGGCCTAGTTATTCCTGGTCATGATGCATTTTCTTCATGAAGTAGTCACCGAACCAGCAACAGGTGATACAATTTTAAACTTGTTTTGGGTAGGTAGTGAGGCCATCATAGACCTAGCTATAGGAAGTAACCTTG